TGTGTGTGTGTGTGTGTGTGTGGCCAGCTCAGCCCACCAGGGGGCGGGGCTGGCTGGCATGTGGTGCTGGGGGATTGAACCACAGTCCCTGTGCTTTGCTAAGCTTGCTCTAAGTAGGTGCTTTTGACCACTGAGCCATCTCACCAGCCCCTAAATTCTTATGTATACTTGAAAACACACACAAACCACTAGGAACATCTCTCAGAAACCACAATAGTACACATAATTAAATTCCATAAAGCTTCATGTTTTAAAAATATAATTCATAGTTGTCAACAATTTGGCTGGGCTTTATATACATTTATACCAGGAATCAAACTCAGTATCTTAGGGCCAGCCAGTAGCTCAGCAGATTAAAGCACCTGCTTAGGCAGATGCAGGGGCTGGGGTTTGATCCCCTGACCTGCCATGCCAGCCCTGCCCCCATGGCACACTGAGATGGCAATTGAGACTGGGCATGGTGGCATGGGCCTGTAATCTGAGCACTTGGGAGGCTGTAAACCAGGTGGATCATGAAGAGTGAGATCTACATAGTGAGACCCTGAACACTATGTAGACCCTTCCCTAAATACAGAAAAAAAAGAGAAAAAGCAAAAAAAAACCTTGCACTTGGCTGGTAAGCACTTATGCCACTGAGTTATATCCCCAACCCCTATTATAGATGATTTAATGCTGATTATTAGACAGAAGGGCAAATGTTTGCTCAGCTTCCTTGGATTTATTTTTAGCTTCCAGGCTACAATTTTTCTTTTCCACCTCTCTTCTCTTGAAAATATACCTATGGTAAAGCCTCACATTTTCTTTCAAGAATAATTCTTAGTATCAGACTAAGTGTGTATCAGATGTCTGTGTAGAGCCATCAAACTTGCTCTGAAAATGCCTAGATTTTGTATATATGCCAAACTGCTTAATTATCTGTTTTTTCATTTTGAAGGATTCTAGGTAGGCAGATAATTACTCCAAGTGAAGGTTATGAATTATATCCTAGATCTCCTCCTGCTGTTTCAGTTTCACAAGAAGCAGTCTTATCTCAAGAAAGAGATTCTACTATGTAAGTATTCCGTTACATGTTTCAGTATCCTTGTATTTAAGTGTTGTATTCTGACAACTGAACTAAGGAATTAAGACACTTCTTTCTACTTACTGGTAAAGCACAGAAAATGCTGTAAGGTTGGTAGTAGTCTTTGTGTATATTAAGAATTTTTTATTTTTTGTGCAAAAATTAATAAATTCCCTGGAGATTAGGGTGGTTTTGTACTCAGAATGATCTCTTCCTGTCTGTCTGTCCATCCGTCCATCTGTCCATCCGTCTGTCCATCCATCCATCCATCTATCCATCCCTATATCTACCTCTACTTACAGGTATAGCATTTCTCTCTTGGGATAAATGTATATTTAGAGTGGTTTTTA